TCCAGGCTGACACCAGCCCCTCTCACTTCGTGGTTTTAACTGGACATTTTAATAATGGGGCAAAGACAAGCACAGGAAAGCTCCTACCAAAACAGCACACCCACTGCTCTTGTTCCCCATAGCACACCTAGGAAACACCTCCTAGGCTTGCTGGCCTGAGCAGGCTCAGCTGATGGTGGGAGCAGGTGAATGGAAATGAAGGACTGTCTCCTTCTGTAAGGCATGTAGTGGACATACATCTGTTCTCGAAAAGCATATTCATACTTTGTAATGCAGATGTATTTCTCCTGGAGATGATCTGTAATGCATCAGAGGGGAACACACGTTGGGAGGTGGGGAAGAGGTACTGTACTCCTGCCATCTCACACCTTTCCTTAACAAGATGAGCTTCAGGGATTTACAGTCAAACAAAAGGTGAAGATGAACCTCTTGTAAATGGTAGCACTTAAAATTCGTGCTGCTTTGAAGCTGCATGCTGAGCAGATGCTGCATGCACAGCCATTGCCCTCCTGAGATGTGGGTTTTAATTCACCTCCGTTTATGTCACCTGTTCCCCATGTGTTTGTGTTACACTGCTTAGCTCCCAAGGTGCCTGTGGACAAAATGAGCTTTTGTTCCACCTTGTGCTGCTCGACTCTTGCTCATTCTGTCACAGGGTGTTGGACAGCACGAGCTGTGGCCAGGCTGAGCCAGACATTCCGAATCAGTCCCACAAAGCTCTCATCTGAGGAAACTCTTGGTCATCTAGCCGTGTTCTTACACCTCCTGCAGCATGTGGTGTGGGGGTCACTGGGGAAGTTATCAACAAGTTTCCAGAGAAAAGGAACCTTTCTGGGCGGTCAGCCTACCTTCCTGTGTGAGGGGAGCACTGACTGCAGTGATGCCTCTTCGTGGGAACCCACTTGCATGGGGAACAGATGGCATGCTCTGAGGGCTTTGGTGTGCTTGTGCTGGAGCTGGCATTGGGGGTGACACATGTAGGACTCCTTGGACAGAGGAGGAAAATCGTGGAGAGCAGTCAGGAAGGCAAGCTCCCTGATGGTCCTTGCAGAGTTCTAGTCATCTGAAGACCAGAGCAAGGTGCTGCAGAAATAGGTTGTCCAACTCTAGAGTAAATGTTAAGCCTGAAGACAGATGTGGTTGTGGGTACCCAAGGAGCTTCTCATCCGGAACTGCATTAAGTATCTCCTGTGGGACACCAGAGAGCATGCAGAGAGGAGCTGGAGTGCCTCATGGACTCACTACAGCTAATTCTTGGCATGATTTGTAATTATAGGACTCTTGAATCTGCTTATTGCCCCAGGGGCATGTCTTGCACATCTTGTGTTGGAAAACTCTTGCTCATGAGCACAAGGCTGCATCTACAGCACTGGGCTGAAAGGTTCTGAGTAAAAGAAAGCCATATACTCTCACTTGTGTACTTGTGGTGAACAGAGAAAGGATATTTTGTAGAATTAATTCCAGTAGCATTTGGATGCATTCTCCAGTGTCCGTGACTCATTCAAAGAGCCAGTGAAAGGATGGCACAAGCCCATATTCCAGGGATATGCTGCCAAGTGTCTCAGGCTAGCTGGGCTAGAGCTCTGACCCTTGTCTGCAGGACCTCAATCCTCTACATTAGTTATGTTTCCCTGGACAAAAACAGCAAGATGTGGATAAACCTGAGATAAATACGGTTTCTATAGTCCTTGGCACTTCTTTAGCAGAGAGAAGTTAACCAATGTAATTTATTAAATATCTTACAGCTCTTTTTCAGTCATGGTTATCCATAGGTGACCATCTATTTCTAACATGATTGTACTGGAGGGAAGTGGCAGGGTTTGCTGCAGCAAATTCCTTCAGCTGCCAAAGCGAGGTTTAGGGCTTGGTGCTTACCATGCTGCTGCAGTACAGATACATCCTTTAAGCATCAAGAAAGAGATGTGGATTGGCTTTTTTTTTTTCTTCAAAAAATGACATTTTGAAGTAGGTTAAATCTACCACTTTTCCACATTTTCTTAGAGAGAGATTTTTGTTCTGGCTGTTGTACGTGCTTTCCATGAGAAATTATTTATGAGCTCCTCAATCCCTCGTCTACTCTTCTTGATGTAACAATAGTAGACCTGGAGGAATGACCAAGGTTAGTTTTATAGTCTTGCTTCAGATGTAGTGCCAAGTTATTCAGTGCTTCGTTTTGTTAGTGCCTGAACCAAGGGGCAATTTATCTCAGCAATGTCCTTCAGATTATACCTATATACCATTTTACCAATAAGGCATGCACCTGCTGCTCCAGTCCCAGAAGAAATCAATGTTTCATTTCAGAGATGCCAGTTCTTTGCTCTCCCTCCTTTTGCCATTCTTATGAAGACAAACTTTTTAGGGGGCATGGGAAGAAATACAGAAAAATTGTGGAAAAACCTCCCCTACTTCAGCTACGACATCCTGTTCAATTACGAATCATAAAGAAGCTCGCTGAGGGCAAGGTCGTCAGGGTTTAAGTGGTGAATATACATGAACAGGATGGGACATGCCCTTTGTTGGGGTCTGTATGGACGGGATGGGGCACAGCCTTTGTTGGGGTCCCCTCCAGATGATGGGCCTAGACTGCTGCAGTCCTGGAAGGAAGTGTACAGTGTGACTATGGCATTGCTGTCTTTGCTGGACAAATGCAAAGCTGTAGCTCAGTTCCTTGCTCACAGCCAGTTATCTATCCTGGCACTGGTGTAATTCTAATACATACTTTATTGCTTGTCAATATTTTAACCTTCCTGGCACATTATCCCCTAGGGCAACTGAGCAGCCTTAATAATATAGCTGATAATTATCATCCTGGTGAATAGAGTTATCACTAGGGTCCTGTATAAATCACGTGGAAAAGATGACAGATTTCACTGGCTGATCATTACAAAAATGGGAAGAGGTGACAGCTTAATGGGGAAGGTAATAAAACCAACAGTGAAGTAATTTATAATATAGGCAATGATTCTCAGGCTTTTCTATTTGTTTTCATGCTAATAGAAGATAAATGTCATATTAGGAATAAGACCTGAAATTTCTATTAAAAATATTTGGAAAATTTCATTAAATATCAGCAATTCCCAGCTCAAGAAGTGGCAGCATGGGTCTTAATTACATCTCTTAATTACCTGTATGAGGTCCTTAGAACCCAAGTGGGGAATAATAGTATTTGCTTTGCTTTCTTGGTGTGCTGCAAGGGGTGATGTTTCTAAATGCTGGCCACTGGTGGAAAGCAGGACAGCAGTCCTGGCAGGGATCCTGAATCAGGTACCTCATGGCTATTTTGGTAGGCTGCAGGTTTCACAGGAGATCCAAGCTGTCATAAGCGAAGAGCAAGACTTCAGCGCAGGTGTGAGAAAGCCCTGCAGCAGTACTGGAGCTGTGAGAAAGGGAGGGTGCATTACAGAGTGGGCAAAGGACTAAGGCACACTCACCAGAAATATATGACGGACTGGTGTTTGCACCTGTAAGTTACCTGTTAGTATTGCTGGTTGGTCCTCTGGACTGCAGGCTATGAAAGTGCATGTGTGCAGCCTTCGGCATTTATACTCCACACTAACAAAAGGTTTGGGAGTATGAGTGAGCTGTGGTGGGACTGCAGAGTGAGCAGGAGTGTCCTGGGAAACGGCCACAGCTCCCTGGGTGAGACCAGAGTAACAAGCAGCTGAGAGAGCAGCAGATGGGAGGCTGCCAGCCCAGCTCTCGGCGGGAGCCTGGGTGATCCGGGGAGGGACCGGGGCTGGGGCTGGAGGTGCTGTGGGCACTGTTGTGTGTTGAGTGGGTGCTGGGGCTGAGCAGGTGAAGACTGGCGTGGTGCTCCCCAGCAAAGTGCGGTTGCTGTGCACCGCCTGTCATCCTGTGCTGTCACCCTGTGCACCGCCTACCTGTGGAGCCAGTGCTGCCGTGGCTGGGAGAGCAGGAACACCTCTTCCCAGTCAGCAGCCTGGCCTGGGCTGGCTTGGCTCTGGATGGTCTCCTCAGCAGTGATTAATGTGAGGATGTCTCTGGGATGCAAGCTGGGGAAGGGAGAGCAGTGGAAAATATATTTGTGTCTGTGCTTAACATTCACAGTGCATTCTCTTGCATTTCTTCTAAACAAGCACTATGAGGTCTGAGCCCCAGTACCTCTAATCTAGTGAGGGCCTTATTGATCAGGTCTTGCTATTTGGTCCCCTGAGCCGCCTCGTGTTGCACAAAAGGGATAAATTGCTCCTTATACTTTCAAGAGTCAGAATGTTTTTAGTGTATGTAGACCCATATGATAAATACAGAGGCACAGCTGGGACGAGACTAGCAAAAAGCAGAGGGATAATTAACAGCTGGAACAGCACAAACTAGTTCCCAATCCCAAGCCCTGAAGGAACACGATACATTCATCATGCTGCTCTCTGGGCTGATGCTGCAGCTCTGGGGTGCGTAGTATTGAATTACAGTCTCTAGAAAATATTGTTTGGGGAATGTTGAGGAGAGCTGGTAAACAATGTGCTAGAAGGTGACAGATACATTTGCAGCTTCATATAGGGCTTTCATAATAAAAAGAGCCATGCGGGGTTTTCCCCTCTCTGCCTGCCTGTCAGAGCTGGCAGCAGGCAGGCTGCCAGGCTTCGGCAGGGCCGGCAGCCATTGGGCTTGCTTCCTTCTGATGACTGTTTTCTTTAAAATAGTATTTTGTTACTGTGTGAAGCACTAACAATGGCTGATAAATCTCAAGCTTAATGAAGCACCATCCATGATTCAGCTGCTGTAGATAACAACATATAGAAAGAAGGCTCTTAACTCTGGATTTGGACTCAGTCTAACCTGGACACCCCTTCTGGACTCTCTTGTCTTCAATGTGGTGTTACAGAGCATGGCACAGAGGCTCCCAGCTCAGAGCTGCTGCCCACATGATCTGGGCAGAGCTGGTGATCAGGAGCTGCACTTCAGCCGTGTGGAGGTGTGGAAGATGGAGGCAGCCAAAATCTATCTGCTTTGTAATTCCTTTCTATCCCCTTTCTTCACAGGAATTTATTCACAAGACTCTAATCTAGGATGACCCTTCACTCGTACAAACCTGCTGATGAGTGATGGCAGTGTCCCCTGAGTCGAGCTCACAACATGCTCAGGAGCTGCCTTCCTCTGGAGCATCCTGCATCACAGCCCCAGGGCCCTGAGTACAAGGTGTATCTGTGAACCAACAGTGAAGCACACACCAAGGTAAGGGAGGGGGAATCCTGTGTTCTCATTCAAATGCCACATCCTTCTGGCAGCACAAACTAGGTATTTGCTTGCTTCATTGATTAAATGGGGGACTCCCACAGCCACGGTAACCAGTGGTGTCTGTGCACAGGGGGTGAACAGGGGATGAATGGTGAGGTTTTCTCTGTGTGATGATGAAAGGGGAAGTTTTAAGGTGGTTTGCTATCAATTAAAAAATACCATGAGAATCTTGAAGACAGAAAAAGACACACAAGAGTTGAATACATGGGAAAATCTGCAGCAGCAGTATGCTGCTTCTGGATGGATTTTCCTGCACATGGAGTGAGTGCTCCCAGCAGCACTGGAGCACGTGATGCGCACCTGGATTTCTGGTAAGGATGCATCATATGCTTTCTGCAGAAGATGTGGGATTTAAGGTTATTCCATCCTTGCTTATGTGCCACCCCGGCCCCCAAGGAACATGGGTGGCAACTGATATGGCATTAGAAATACTGCTCAAGGAATCCTGACTGCATGGAAGGTCCTGAGCCAGGGAGCTCCGACTCACCTGCTCAGTGAGCTTCTGCTCAGCTTAGAGTTTCTGGGTCCTCATGGCATCAGAGTGGCAGAGTGTGAGTCCACCTGCCCAGGCTGGCCAGCTGCCAGAGGGGAGCTTTTGTGGTGGAGAGCCAGGCACCCAGGCAGCTGTGGTACCCCAGCAGTGGCCAGCCAGGGTTGTTCTGGGGGGGCTGTGGTGGGGCAGCTGCTTCCCCTCCAGCTGACTAAGGCAGCAGCTGCTATGGGCTTTGCTTCTGCTCCAGAGTAGTGCTGTGATTACAAGACAGACATAAAGTCACAGAATCATCATCAAAACCTAAAGTAAAGTATTCAGCTCATAAAAAATGTGTCACCTGAACAAACAGAAGAGTTACAGCTTTCCCTTCTTCCCCTTGGAGCCAAGGGGAGAGTGTGCCACTATAGCAGAAGCCTGAGGAGTCAACAGTGGCCAAAGCAGAGGATTTCACTACCCCTGGAGAAGCTCTTTCACATTTATTTGTCATATGTTTCTATTTAATGCACTGGTTAGGGGCAGGACTTGCAGACAGCCACAGATTGTGCATGTGAATTGGTGTAAATGTTATGTACGACCATTGTCAGCTCTGCTCCCCAGGAAGATTGATACACAGAATGAATCTTCTCAAGCTGCTTCTGAAAAGATTCATGACACTGCAGTGAAAGTTGCTTCCAATGGGAACCTCTGTGTACTGGTGCCAGCATATATTTTATTCCCCATGACTACAAGGGCTGGTTAGGTTATGAGCCTCCCACTGAAATGGACCGCATACAATTGCCAGATAATTGGTTCTTTTCCTTGTAGGCTGATGAAGTTATGGTTCACCTCTGACTCCCCCAAGAGCAGCAGGCACAGCACCATGGGCTGCTTATCTCTCATCCAGGTGCTCAGCCTGTCTGTCCCTTCTACCTAGCATGGCCAGAGGGGAAGCCCCAAGAGTAGAGGGCAGGGAGCAGCTGCTGAGCATGGGTTTGACCACGGGCTTGCTGCCTGAGCCGGCAGTGGGGCTGCAGGACCGTGCAGGTTCGTAGGGTGCTGGTCCACGCTGGGGGTGGTGTGGCAGATTCAGCTGCAGAGTGATGCTGAAATCAGGTCACTGTGAGCATTGGTCCTTGACAGGTGCTGTAGCCCAGCTGTCTGGCCTTTGTCCCTGGGACCATGTACTCATCTGTTGTGGCATGTCCCAGCTGCTGCTAGTGCTGGTGCTGCAGCTGCGGCAGAGGACACGTGGAACTCTTCAAATCTCGTGCTGATTGTATCTGGCTGCAATTGAAGGCTCGGGAGACCTTGGAAAAGAGCCCTTTGCCTGCCTCCCTGTCTGATTGATCTTACCAAGGGGCCATGACTGATCTTGAAAATCTCCCTGCTCCCAACTGAGCAGTCACAGAGAGGCATCAGATATCCATCTTCCCCCTTTGGTCTTGTCCTCCTTTGGATAATGACTCTCTCCTCCAACACACCTGCTCTCTCTTCTGCTAGACCTCCTTGGTGTGCAAACATGTGGCTCCTCTATGCTGGCATTTTAGAGTGAGATTGAGCAGTGTTGCTGCTTGGAGCCATCCTGTTGCTTGCTCCTCTCCTCCTCCTTGCAGGTTTGTACAGCATCTTCACCCAGTGTGAGAAGAATCCGGGGGTGAAGTGGCGTAGGGTGGTGGGAATGCTGCCACTGGGAAGGCCATGCATGCTGGAAATATCTTTTCCTTGGAAAGGTCCTAAAAGAACTGAGTCTGCCAATCAAGCACTCTACAAACAAAGATTAATGTGCACCCCTCATGCTGAGCCACAACTCTCTGTTTATTGCATTTTAACATTGTCAACAGCGCCTGCCGAGGTGCTCGCTGTGCTCTGCTGACCTCCACTATTTGCGATGGCATAGGAATTGATTGTGGTTGAAAGAACTTTACTGGAATAAAATGAGCTTCTCAATTATTGCCACACAAATAAATCTCTCTGTTTCAGTAATCCCCCCCAGGGAGCACTTCCAAAACCCTGTGTTCTTTTAGGACCTTTCTGATGGAAAGTTCTTATTTCTGTAGTTTGGCTTTTAGGATGGCTCATCTACTTTACTGGGCACCCTGTGGCAGCAGGACTGTCCAGGAGTGCTGGCACCTTCTGGAGACATCTTCCCAAAAGGTGTCAGGCACATAAAAGCTGAGAGTGCTTGGGACTATCCCTGCTAAGGCCTCTTCCTTGTGCTGCCAGTTACAGTGCTCTGGAACATAAAACATGGAAATAATTAAGTAGATTAATTAGCTAACGTTTGCACAGGACCTGGAAAATATAAAGAACTATATAATTGCTAGGTACCGTAGATTAATTAGTTAACGTTTACCCAGTGCTTTGTAAACGTAAAGGTAGCATAGCAGTGCTAAGTATTATAATTAATTAAGTTTTCACTCTTTGTAAGATTCGTTTTGGGCAACAACAACACCAAGAGTTCAGTTTTCCAGTTTGGCTCCACAGGAGGGAAGGATGAGGGGTGCGATGTGACCTCCAGGGATGCCACTGCAGGCAGGCCAGGCTGCGGGGTGTGAGTGACATGGTCACGGCCACGGCCGTGGAGTGGGGCCTGCTGGGGTCTGGCCTTGCTTTGTGCTGCTGGTGATGGTGGCTGAGTGCCAGACCTGTGCCTGCAGGAGCAAACTACAAGGAAACTGGTGATCTGTGTAGAAGATCCCTGAGCAATGTTAGCAGGAAATTCCAGGGGCAAAAAAGTCTTTGCATTGTGTTGGTGCCTGTTACTGTTCTGTGTTTCCTCCAAACTCCTCTGGACACTGTGAGGGCTGGTTCTCAGCACAGTGATGCACTGGGTGACTGTGTCCCGCTGCAGACACTCAGAGGGGGTACATGAGGGCTTGGGGGCACAGGGCAGGGGATGGGGTGTAGCAGACTCGCTGTCTTGCTGCACAGCAGTCCCATTGCTGCTCCCATGCCTATTGTCTCGACAAGCATATGAACTCCTCCCTTTGGGCTCCAGGAAACCCTGCATTTGGCATGTGTCCAAGGATGGTTTGCATGTGCACTGTGGCTGTTTGGGCACGGGAGAATGAGGATTATTGCTTGGTGCAGTCAGCTGTACGTAAAAACATGTGCTTTTAGAGGGCCCTACATAAGAACAGCAGTTGCAGCTCGTTTGTCTCTTTTATCTGTCTGTGGCAACTGCTGAGGGCACATGTGGGTTCCACACTTGGATGTCACTGAGATGCAGTCGTTCCTGTGCAGATCTGCAGTATGTGAAACCCTAGAGTGCAGGCATTTCCTGGAGACTAATGTGAATAGCTGGAAAGGGCTGAAGGAACTCGTAGGAACTCTGATGACCTCTATGTACATACAGTTCACTGCAATAAGAAATACCACTGCCTCACACTAACAAGTGCTGTAAAGAATTAAAAACTGCCTTTCATATTTCTAATTTTCTTTATCCCATTTAGTCTGTGGAGCTCAGAACCAATTCAGCAGTTCCTGTATTATCTTAGAATAACTTCCCCTGATTCTTACTTTTTAAACAGCAAGGGAGGCAAAGTATTATCATCCATTCATTAACAAGTTGCTCTTTTACGCTACCTGAACATTGCAGCCTCAGTGTGCTCCTGCCCTGGATCAGGGAGATGTGAAACTTACCCTGTATTTATTAGCAGATAGAAACTGCTCTGTCTGTGCATTTGTTTGAGTAAATAGTAAGAGCAGGATTTCCCATGCTTGTTCAACAAGTTAATTCACTTGGAATTCTGTCTCCCAGACATATGCTCCCACACTGTTCCTAATGATCTGGGTTAGTAAGCAGAAGGCACTCCTCTTCCCATGCTCATGAACTTGGAGGGAGGCGATGACATGATATCGATCACTTTTGGAGACCTCTTCACAAACACTGTGAATCTGATGCAGTAACTGGAAGTGTGTGTTAATCACACCCAGTCTGTAATGGGCTAAAGTGGTAGGCAAGCCAGGAGATGCAGTGGAGGGGAGGCTTGGAGTGTTGAGCCAGTGGCCACACAAGGGAACCGCTTCAGAAGGAGAACACCAGGGCTGTAACACAACACCACTGACTGTCACGTGAGTGCAGAAGCACAAAGAGAAGGAAGAAGAATCTGGTCCTAAATGAACACGAAATTTGGAGCCTCCTAAGGTTCACTGCCCACCCTGCTCCATTCCCAGTTTGCTCTGATCATCTCTTCCTTTTCTTGCTAGGCATTGTGCCCATGTGTAGGACTGCAGCTCTCTGCAGAGCAGGACATACAGAGCCTCTGGGATGGTCTGCTCCAGTACCCAGGGGTAGGACTGTGGTCTTCTGTCCACTGGCAGCTGTGTGCTGCTGTCGCTCTGGCTGCTCCCTTCCAGTGCTGCATGCCCAGGCATCAGTCTCCGTGTGGAGGTGTGCCAAAAGCCGTGCTTGTAGTTGTGTCACTGATGCTCTGGGAGATAAATGGGAGGGGGAACAACAGTA